CAGTGCCAAGCTGATGTCAACAAACCAGACAATCGCGGACAGACACCACTCTTTGCAGCAGCTTATAGCGGAAACATCGAACTTGTGCAGTACTTGGTGGAAAAGGTATGCTCGTTGTGATATCTTGCACTTGTTTTCTTAATACAACACTAACACGTATAATGATCAGTGCCAAGCTGATGTCAACATACCAGACAATAACGGGCAAACACCAGTCTTTGCAGCAGCTTATAGTGGAAACAAGAATCTCGTCGAGTACTTGGTGGAAAAGGTGAAATTCGTTGTAATATCTTGACTGGTTTCCCTTCGACAATACTTAACACATTTAATGGTCAGGGCCAAGTTAGTATCAACACACCAGACAATGACGGAAAGACCCCAGTATCTCTTGCAGCACAAAACGGACATGTGAACATTGTCGAATATCTCGGAACCCTGGTGAGCCACCGAAATTTGCAATTATTTACCAGTCTTCACAACGTTGCAACATCAACACTCAAACAACAATGCACAATTATTAGGGAGTGGATATCGACACACCCGATAGCGAAGGGCAAACATGGCGAGAGATTGCAGAAGCAGCAAATAAGCCACGGTGGTAAATATAATAACAAGATAACACACTATTCGAACCAAATGAATACAATGGCTAGTGAAAGCAAAGCATCCAGATCCAAAAACCAGTCGCAAAAATTGAGCAACTTGAGACAATCGACAGAAATTTTAGCAACTCTTTGCAATTGAAGCAAATAGCCTAGTCAGAGTAAAATTGAGCAATGAAACGCATTCGAAACAAACGGCAAATGCAGTAATTGATCACGAAGCGTCCCACAATGGCAGTAATTAGAACAACACAAACAATTCAGCACAATTACCAATTCATGTACATCAAGAATAATCGGACTACCCCATATACCTGCAAGCACCAAGTATCTCTTCCAATGATCCAATACCACGGCCTTGAATCATTCTGAACACTGTTTGCGACACACCACACACCATCAGCACGAATCACATCAAGCAACGCAGCATTAGCATCGGCACAATTGATAGCATCGGCTGGAAAGGAATCAATTAAGCAAACAAGAGAATCGGTAGCATCAACCAAATAGTCGGACATGACACAACAACAACGACGGGACATAAATCTGCTCATTAAGTGCATGACGAGTTTTAACAATTTCAAAAAGGGAAACAGAGAAAAACACTATACAACCAAACCGCAACGGGAAACACCGAAAGCAATCGTAGCAATGATAGCAACAGGGCACACTGAAAGAAATCGTAGCAATGATAGCAACAGGGCACACTGAAAGCAATCGTAGCAATGATCGCAACAGGTCACAACGAACGCAACGATCGCAACGTTAGCAACAGGTCACAGCGAAAGCATCAGCCGCAACATCTCACAGAGAAAGCATCCGTCACAACGTTAGCAACGGTCACAAATTCCGCATCAGTCACACCAACCACGCCAGCCACAACCACATCACAAGCAACGCCCGTCACAATGCCACAACATACACAACGATCACACTGGTAACAATAGCCAAAGCTAGTCAAACAAGGTCAAGCCCTCACGCACTACAGCATTACGAATCGAATTGTGCTCTTGCGGGTCCTTGGCAATAGAAATCAAGGCATCAACCGTGGCAATGGTAGCAGCGATCGCATTGCAACTACTGTACACACCAAGCAACTCTTCACGAAGCACAGACATATCACTCAACAAATAGGCAGCAGGAACCAAACGACTTATACGGTGAATAAACCAAAGCGGAGCAGGCATATGCGAATAATCAATCATCGAAACGTCGGCGAGACCATAACGGATTAGCCTCAGCGGATGCGGGAGTTGCCTATTCCGTAACAATGCAGCTTTTACAAATGATTCCATCACTTGTAAAACACACAACACACAAAAACACAGCATACAACCCGCACCCGGTCACAATTGTCACAATATCCCACAGCTGTCACGTCATCCCACAGCTTTCACATCATTTCACAATATCCCACAGCGTTCACGTCAACTCACAATGTCCCACAATCATCACAATCTTTACAATGCCAACAATACCAACAGCATTCACAATTTCAACAGTTCACACAATGATCACAAAACTGCTCACTTTGTGACAAAAACAACAAATCAAAAACAGAAAGCAAAACAGGTCAAAATCAGCAATCCCAGCGGCAACTGTCACAATATTTCACAGCTGTCACAGTTTTCACATCTTTCACAACTTTCCCAACTTTGGCAACTTTCACAGCAGCGGCAACTTTGACAAGCAGCAGCAACTGACACATCTTTCACGTCAGCACACAACTTTCACAACTTTCACAACAGAGGCAATTGAGACAATCGCGTACCCGCAAACACAATAGCCGCAGCTGACACATCTATCACGTCAGCACACAACGTCCGCAACTTTGACAATCGCCGCAACTGACACAATTGCCGCAACTTTCACGTCAGCTAGCGCACAATTCAATAGCCGCAGCTGACACATCCTTCACGTCATCACACATTGGAAACAATCGGAAACAACGGAAACAACGGAAACATCAGGAACAACGTTCGCAACGGAAACAAGGGTTGCAGACATCGCAACGGTTGCAAGGGCAAAAACAAGGGCAAAAACAAAAAGCAAGAGCCCAAGCCAGAAAACCGACCGCACAGTGGCAGAGAGTGAGCCAAAGGGTATAGGCAGTAGT